AATTGATGATAAAAAGCTAAAAGTCCCTTTCCATCATATATATATAGTTCGTCACTCTTTTGAGTGGAAATGTTTGAATGATAAAAATGGCATAAAATCTCAAAATCAGAGATGAAATGTCTCTGTGCAAAAATTCATTTCCTTTCTTGTTCTGAGTAAGGGAGTCAGAGCTCGCCAGACAACGTGGAAAAAAGTTAGTTGAATAATTCAAGAATCCTAGACTCCTCGTAAGGGAGAAAGATGGAAGGGACAGAAATTCGCCGCAACCTTTCGCTGCACAATCGTTATTTCCGCTAACCAGAGAGAGGAACCTCGAGTTTTCTTTTCTCTCACCTAGAAAGTCACCGTTTCATGAAATTGTAATTCCGTAATAAACATGAGGAGCGGTGATAATTCGGACCTTCTGCTTCCATTTGAGAATTTCTGATTGTCGTCAACGTCTGTTTGTGAAAAATAAATTTGGTGAATTTTTTTTTATTCATATAGTAGCTTATTATTTTGATTCATATTTATTTTGAAGAAAAATGTTTAAAAAAATATAAGCTTTTTTGTCTTATTATATTAATTATAGTTTTAAAAATATTTAAAAGACTGTTATTTTAAAAGTTTGATACAAATAAGCTTTAGGGAAACACGTACGTATATATTGTTTTGTTACAATTCCACAAGAAGTTAGGAATATTAACATGCTATGCACGAATACACGTGCTGCTGAATATCAAAGCCGTAAGTTTTTCCTTCCTATATTTCCCGTGAAAATAAACATGAACTGCTTGCTCTAAAATTTTTACGAGGTGCAAAAAAACTGAAGCTATATACTCTATGATTATAAAAACAAAAATTGTCTATTTTAACCATGTTTAAAATTTTCATTTAATTAAAAGCTAATTATGACTTTCTCTTTCATTTATTTTCACATCACTCACACTTTACTTTTTCCAAACTATTCACTTAACTGTAATTTTTAATTTTAATTCATTTTCCACATTATTTCAACTCACCTATGAATGTGCAACGAATGTGCAACGAATTCTTAGAGAAAGTGGTTTAAGTTTTGTGCTACTTTAATCAGCTCGACGCAACTACAATATAAAAAGTCTTCTATGATGAAGATATAAAAACATTTTCAATAATGAAACGAGTACGAAATCGAGTGGAAATTATTGTAGATCGATTTCGTAGGTGAAAATCAACTAACTGTGATGCAGTGAAAAGATTTCGTGTTGCAGTCCTCTTCGCTGAACATCTCTTGCGAATCCATGAGCTTGACTTTCAAGTCGAGGATGAGAGGGATTTCCGATAACCCTCCCCCTTTACAACCCATCCACCGTTTTCCCACCTTATCCTTAGGACCACCATATAGTCTGCACATCCTGTCTCTCCCCGAGCGGGAATACAGGAAATTGATCCTAGCTGGGAGATACGGCGACGATGAAAACTTCCCGCTGGGGCGCGTTACCCATAAATACGCAAAAGAACCTTTCTACATTAATCACGGTAGAACTCTTGCACTTCATATTAATATCGATGAGATATTGAAATATATCAGAAAGGTTTTTGATAAATTTTTCAAAAATCAGAAACATAACTATTTTTTAAATTATTATTATTGTTTTAGACGTAATTGTATATGTTAAACGTATCTTAATAAATAGTGGAGTTTTCCTAGCTGATCAGAAAGAATAAATAAAAAGTAATTAATATGTAAAACATATTTGATTCCGTCTGACCTAGACAATGAGGTAGTCGAAGAAGTACGCAAGAAGTGTTTAAAACTTAGACAGGAGGAAGCTGAGTGTCTTCAGAAGATCGAAGAGGAGATCGCCTAGATGGTAAAGTCTTGCGCAGTCCAGAAGAATGACAACATGACTATTAAAGACGGACTTAAGACTATTCAGGATCTTGTCAGTGAGGCGAAAACAAAGTACGTCCTAGCAGATAATAGAGATAGCAACCTTGGTGGTAGTCTGGAGAGGACAAACGCCAATGTAAAAAAGAAGCATGTCAAAAAGATTGCGAAGGTGACGGTAGCACAGAATCATAAGCAAACCAATAAGAAAGCGACGAGTGGATATATAATAGTGATCCGAGTTGCAACAGGAACAACGTATGATGACGTACTAAGCAAACTCCGGAGGGAAGTGAAACCGAATGTCAGTTACACGCAGGTCGTGGATGCAATGCCACAAGAAAAAGAGATCTTCTGATTAAAATCGGAGAAGACTCCAATAAGGAGGCATTCACCGCTGAAATCACTAAAGTGGTTGGAAGCAGGGGGAAGGTGCAGACCGTGGATCGACAGGTCACACTGGAGATCTGCAACCTGGAATGGTTTACCCAGGAAGAAGAGGTCCAACAGGCGTTGGCGGAAGTGCTCCAGAAACAAGGAAGCAAAAAAGTGACGTCCTAGGACCGAACCGACAAGGAATGAAGTTTGCGGTTGTAATCACCTACCCAGAGGAGGCAAATAGGCTGGAGAAATTGGGACGCAGAAGAATTGGCTTTATGTGTTGACCAATAAAAAGAAGGGTAATGGTTTTTCGGTACCATTGGTGCCTGACGTACGGCTACATATAAAGAATTTGTAAGGCAGCGGACAGATCGACTGCGTGCTTTAAGTACTGAAATCGATCATAAGTTTGCAAACTGCAGTAGAAGCCCAAGCTGCTTTTTATGTAGAAAAAATTATGGCGATAAGGTAAACATTAGCCATATAGCAGGCAGCGTAGGATTCGGAGTCTTCCGGACGGCTCTTGAGGAATCCAAGCACAAACGAAGAATAAATAAACCAGAAAGATCGTCAAAGGCAAGGATCGCGAAAACGTGATCCCAGAGCTATTTTCGAGTGGAATTTTATTTTATTATTTGGTAGAATTATTGATGCAATGATATTGTTCATTAACATGAAAAAAAATGATCCGGCAAGGATGATCTCTGAATTTGGGGAAAACCTTGAAGTTGCATATCAAATCGTCCAATCAATCAGTACTTCATAATGTTCCATCTCTTTTAATTTTTCTCAAATCGATTTAAAACATCGGGACAAAATTTCTAAAATGTGATGAAAAAAAAATCAATTTTTTGAAAAAATTATGACCGCATGTGAAAATGAAGTGAAAGTGAAGTTACAGAATAGAACATCTGGTGCTATAAACGGATAAGTTTAAGTAGTTATTACAAATTCCAGTTTTCCTAACGGCAACTGTCGAAATAGTCATTATAATTCTATATATGAATGTTACTAACATCGTTCATGCTAGAAGATAAATGATACTGTTTCCCACATGCTCAGTTATACCCCTAGACAGACAGTTTTGGATCATCTACAATGTTGGCAAAGCTCTGTCGTGATCGAGCATGTAAAATCCCAATTCCCTTGATAATGGCACTCCGTCAGGGTTGTGATTGTTATGAGGGTTTAATACCCAAGTGACATCTGACTGAAAATTTGCTTTTGTCGGAAATTTCGCACTGTTGCCACAATTTTGATGATAATAATTTAGAGATTTGGTAATGATTTTCCAATTAAATTCTCATTTTCAACGTATTTAGATTTCATTTTGTTATCTATATAATTTAATACAAAATTAATTAATTTTCACATGAAACTTTAATCCATTAAGCCCATGATAATAAAAATAAAGATAACAAAAAATAACATTTTAATAATATTAATTTTTTTTAAAAACAACTAAATTCTGTTTTATGCAAGACTTTAAATAATTTCGTTCGCAGAAAGTTGTGAAATGTCAATTCAAACTCGTATAAAGTAAATTTAATTTAATTTTTCGGATTCAGGATCGCACAAGCAGATTAATTTTTCATTTGAATTGAGTCAACAACTTTTTTCTGGATTGTTTTCTGAACTAACTTATATTTTCTTCTTTTTATAGATAAACTTTAAAAAAATAAAAAAAAAGTGAATATTGACTTCTTTTAAACTGTTACAGACTGTTAGTAAATTTTTTTTGTAATATTTATTGTTATATCAATAGTAAAAATTTATTTAATAAATTACCTCATTATGGATTTAACAATAGTTTACAAATATTAAAATAAAAAATATTTTAAATATTACAAAAGATTTTCACTTGATTATTTTTGAATATTTAAAAATGTAAATAAGTTCGAACTTCTGAAAATTATAATAAAATATTGATTGAAAAATTTTCATTTTAAATGGTATTACTCTTGCCATCTGTTGTGAGAGTTGAAAACTTTGTCTTCCTCTCTGGCTAAACTGTTATGATACTTCTTTTTATATTTACCAACTGAAAATGTTTTTAAATATAATAAAATTTAAAGAGTATTTAAATCAGTTTCATCTTTTTTTTAATCTGTGATAAACTATTTTTTTTATTTCTACTGAAACATTGTCATTGGAAAATAATTAAAATTATTTATTTAAAAATAATTAAAAAATATCTTTTTTTTAATAGAATTATTTGTTGATTAAAAACAAATTTTTTTTTATTTTTTAAATAAAATAAAAAAAAATGTTTAAATAAATATATTTACGAAGTATAAAATTTCTGCCTCATTATGCAAACTCTAAACATATATATATTAAATGCTATAAAAATATTTTTTATTGATCAAACTCTCTGAAGAAATATGGAGAAATTTGTGAAAAAGTTATGTGAGTAAGAAAACGTAACTTTTTTTTTTCTTTAAGAAGCAAATATAGGTTGAAGTTTTATTTCAGAGTTTAGAAAAGTAGAGTAAGATTCAGTTATTGAAGTGGTTGAAGAATCTCTATCGAATCTTCAAGATGCAATTTCAGTAAAATTGGCAATTCCTTTAACATAAAACACCACACGGGAAAAGAAGAAAAGTTTTAAAAATTCTGTGAGAGAAAAAACAGAAAAAAAAATTTTACAATAAAAAATGAAAAACTATTTTTTGAAATTGACAACATTTTGCGATAAAATGGGTTAATTTTAATAAATAATAAACAAAAGAAAAAGTAGATAATACAGAACCATTTAAAACTAAAACTTCACACATATTTATTGTAATTTATTAAAATTATTGTATTAGAAATATGAACTGTCCTCTCACAAAGTTTGTAGAAAATAAATTAAAAAATTTATCCATTTTCTTCAGCAGCAACAATTTTCTAAATTCTTTTAAAATACAAAATTAAAATTAAGGTAAAATAATAAACATTCTTATAACCTGTTTCACTATAATTTACTCTTTTTTGCAATATTAATTATATTGATTTAATTATTAATAAAAAAAAAATAATAATAATTGGAAAAATTAATTTAGTATGGAAATCTCAATAATACAAATATGTAAAAACACAAAAGAGGCAAGAGAAATGGCCTTGACTGGAAAATACGATTCATCGGAAATTTATTATCATGCTGTAATCGAGCAAATAGAGACATTAATGGAAAGTATCATAAGCGAAACACGAAGAGCAAAATGGTTTCAAATTCAAAATCAAATCACTGATGAATTTGAACAAGTTAAAGCTGCTTCGTATGCTTTAAAGCTTTTTCAAATGGATTTACAGAGAGATTCATTTCTTGGTATTATTTTGTCATAAAAAAAATTTTATTTACTAACAACAAATTTAATTAGGTGACAAAATAAATTTTCAAAAAATTTTGCAGGATATGAAAATTTTTCCCATTCATTGGAAATTAAATTATATAGCTTAAGAAATTATTGTTTTAAATTCTAATAAAATATTTCTATTTACAAAACATTTTAGCCGGACATTCATCTTTATCACACGAAGAACCAACAAGAGACACTGCTTGTGGAAATGATTCTTCTGAACATTGTTATAATTTATTTCGTTCCGTACCTTCGACTCCTTCAAAATCATTTGCTCAGGATTCTAATGTTTGGCGCACAACTTCGCAACCAGAACAAAAGTAATTTTTATTATTCTCAATTTTTTAAAAATTTTATTATCCCTGGAAGATCAGAAACTACGAATGTGCAACAAATTCGTTGCACATTCATAGTTTCCGATTCGCTAATAATTTTATTTTTAAATATCGCGTACTAAGTCGATGCTGATTAAAAAATATATTTAAAAAATTATCATTTTTTATCAGAAATCAAAGACCATGCAGAATTCAACAGAGGATACAACAAACCAGTGCAACATTACGAAAGCCATTAGAAGTTACTTTTAAGAAAGATTTAAGACATGATACGAAAAAAGATAAAAAGAAAATCCCTGGAAAAGAAGAATCAAATAAATTTCTTTTTAATCCAAACAATCGATTAAGTCCAGCAAGTTTTATAACTATATATTTCTAAGTATAGATATAAGAATATTGTTAACTTTATAATTTTTCCCCCACAGAAAAAAGAAACAAAAACTGCTACTAAATCTAATTCAGGAAAATTTAATTCATCGGGAAATTTAAATAAACTTATCGAATTGTTGGGTAGAAATAACAAAATTTCTTTTAGTTAAAATGTAAATTAAATAATTTTGTTAAAATATAAAAGGAGGATATAAAAATTATCATTTTCAGAGAAAGATATACTACAGAGTAATCCAAATATTCATTGGGACGATATTGCTGAACTTCATGAAGTTAAACGACTTCTCGAGGAAGCAGTGATTCTTCCAATTTTGATGCCAGACTTTTTTAAAGTAATTTTTATAACGTATTTTGAAAAATATAAACGTGTCTTTTTCAATAATTTCATTATTTTTATGTAAATACTTTTTAATAAATTGCAATTTAATTATACGTGGTAAAATAAGGTAAATTATATTTTATAATACCATTAATTTATACCACGTTCTACGATAGATGAAAAGTTGTTCAAAATCCAGTAGAATATGATTTAAGTAGGTTTTTAAAATTAACAATGGAAATAATTAATAATTGTAGGGAATTCGAAGACCTTGGAAAGGAGTTCTAATGGTTGGTCCTCCTGGAACGGGAAAGACAATGTTAGCCAAGGCAGTTGCCACAGAATATGAAACTACATTCTTTAATGTTTCTCCATCGACTGTTACTTCAAAATATAGAGGAGAATCTGAAAGACTTGTACGACTTTTATTTGAAATGGTAAAATATTATTTAAGTGCTTTTTTATTTTTATAAAAATAAAGTTTTAGACATAACTTTTCGTGGATCAAATTCCACATTTTTCTTTTTTGGATTCTACATTTTTATGGCCTATATTCATTCTTCGTTCGTGCAAGAGTCTTCTTGGTTTCCTCAAGAGCCGTCCGGAAGACTCCGAATCCTCTGCTCCCTGTGATATGGCTAATGTTCACCTTATTGCAATACTTTTCTCTACATAAGAACCTGCTTGGGTTGCTACTGCAGTTTGCAAACTTATGATCAATTTCAGCACTTAAAGCACGCAGTCGATCTGTCCGCTGATTTACAAACTCTTCCAATGTAGCCGCACGCCAGGCACCAGTGGCACCGGAAAACCATTACCCTTCTTTTTATTGATCAACACTTAAAGCCAATTCTATTGCGTCCCAATTTCTCCAGCCTATTTGCCTCCTCTGGGTCGGTGATTACAACCGCAAACTTCATTCCTCGTCGATTGGATTCTAGGACCGTCACCTTCCTGCTCCCTGGCTTTTGGAGCACTTCCTCCAACGTCCGTTGGACCTCTTCTTTCTGGGTAAGGCAATCCAAGTCGCGGAATTCCAATGTGACCTGCTGATCCACGGTAGCACTTTTCCCCTGCTTCCAACCGCTTTGGTAACCTCTGCGGTGAATGCCCCCCTATTGGATTCTTCTCCGATTTTGACCAAGAGATCTCTCTTCTTTGTAGCTTTCGCTGCTACTACTCTTATGTCCCTAAAGTCCGGGTTGACATACTTACGAAGCTTACTCAAAACATCAGTATACAAAGCCAATCCTCATGCGAACCAATTTCTCCAGTCTGTCCGCGTCCTCTGGGTAGGTGATTACAACCGCGAACTTCATTCCTTGTCGGTTCGGTCCTTGGACGTCACTTTTTTGCTTCCTTGCTTCTGGAGCATTTCCGCCAACGCCTGTTGGACCTCTTCTTCCTGGGTAAACCATTCCAGGTTGCGGATTTCCAATGACATTCAGCGGTGAATGTCTCCTTATTGGAGTCTTCTCCAATTTTGATCAGGAGATCTCCTTTTCTTGTAAGCCTTGCATCAGTACGTCAGGATACGCTATTCCTGTTGCGACTCGAATCACCATTGAAGATCCACTCGTCGCTTTCTTCTTACTGGTTTGCTTATGATTCGATGCTACCGTCACTCTCGGACTACCAGAACTGTTTCTTCATTTCTCCGTCTCTATATCTGTGCGCCGAAATCGCTTCTCATGGATATACTCTCTTTTCCTGTTTTGCTCTTCTCGGTTCACCTCCACAATAGCCTATAGCGCCACTAAAGTTCCTATCTCCATTAGCAACCATGGCGTGCTTTGTCTTCACCTCACTTACAAGATCCTGAAGAATCTTAAGTCCGTCTTTAATTCCTCCTACCTAAGTTTTAAACACTTCTCGCGTTCTTCTTCCATTATCTTATTGCCTAGGTGAGATGGAATCAAACTGCTTCCGCTACTGACACTAGAAACCCTTGTAGAACTTCTTTTTCTTCCAAGTCTTTCCAAACGGAATTGCATAAATGCTGTCCTACCAGTTTGACAACATTTTAAAAAGTTTTTTTAACAATTTTATTAGTTTATGGCAGATGATGTTATTAATGTATCAACCATGTGCCACAAACTAATGAAATTATTATAGAAGTGTCACGTCTTTTGAAAACTCCATCAATCCGGAAGCCCAGTGTGCACAACATGTAACTATTCTAGATTTGTTGTAAAATAGTTCTTTATTTCAATAACCGTTCTAGAACAGTTATGGGTTATGCACACTGTAAGGACAGCATTTATGCAATTAGGTGAATAGCGTAATCCAAAATTTATCATGATTGAGTAACAGGATACAAAGTGCAGGATCCGAAATAGTAGGGGAGCCCAATGTGTTTTTTAGGATTAACTCGAGCGCGGCAGATGAATATACAGGGGTAATATCTTGCATGTTGTTGAGTACCTCTTCCAAGTATTAACTCTTTTAACAAGACGTGCGTCTAGGACAGTCCATCAGATTGTAAAAAAAATCTATCGTTAGAAATATTGAAGCACGTTAGATAAAGGTAAAGTGGGTTAATTACTAGCTAAAAAATATACATTTAAAAAATTTAATGATTTAAGCGTAACGTAGGAGAACGGGAGGATTACAAATTTGCTAAAAAAACGTTTTTTTCTAAAAATTTGTAGACGCTTCTTCTACCACTGAAAAGGAAATTTTTATAGAACCTTTTATTTTCCTTATTATCTAAACTACTAAATCTCATCGTCTCCACAATGCTCTAGTAAATCCCCATTTAGCATCATGGGCTCCCCTATTAAAATGGATAGGAACCAGTAATATATTTAATTAAGTTTTTTAAATTTTTTCATATAAACTTTATTACCTATTTTTCACTATCTGTCAGGCAAGATTCCATGCACCGAGTACAATTTTTATCGACGAAATCGATTCGCTGTGCTCCAAACGTGGTTCCAACTCAGAACACGAGGCTTCAAGAAGATTTAAATCTGAATTCCTTGTCCAAATGGACGGGATTTGTTCAAATAGGTATCTACCCTGCCGGATCAGAAACTATGAATGTGCATCAATTCATCGCACATTCATAGTTTCCGCTCTGCCAAAATAATGTGATTTAAAAAAAAATTTGTTTTTTCCTTTTTGATAAGTAAAAAACATTTATTGCAAAAAATTGCAAATTTTAGTGAAGATGTACCAAAAGTTGTAATGGTTCTTGCTGCAACAAACTATCCATGGGATATTGATGATGCACTGATTAGACGTTTAGAGAAACGAATATACATTCCTTTACCAAATGGTGAGTCAGAGACTAATTTCCTTTAATACCAACATAAAAATTACGATATCAAAATGAAATTCATAAAAATAAATTTTCTTCTTCAATTAATAAATAAAAATAAATTAGATGAGGGAAGATTAGAATTATTGAAAATAAGTCTTCGAGACGTTAAAATAGATCCATTGGTTAATCTCAGTGAAATGGCAAGAAAACTTGATGGATATTCATGTGCAGATATTGCAAATGTTTGCAGGTATTTGTTTTTAATTTCTTTTACAATTTAAATAATTTAATTTTATAAAATTATTTTTATGTTTAAAATATTTTTCTATTATATTTGAATGTGAATTTTTTTTTTAAGAGACGCATCTATGATGTCAATGCGTAAAAAAATCGCTGGCTTGAAACCTGACGAAATAAAGCAGATTAAAAAAGATGAACTAGATTTACCCGTAACATCGGCAGATTTTTACGAGGCAATTGAGAGATGTAATAAAAGCGTTTCTGCTGAAGATTTGAAAAAATACGAAAAATGGATGCGAGAATTTGGTTCATGCTAAAATTTTTAGTTCTTTTATTTTAAAATGTCAAAAATATTTATAAAATTAATTTCAATAATTAAATTTTTATCAAGTTTTTCTATATCTGTATTTTTTTTGGATAAAACTTATCAAAAAATTATTATTCCACTTGTTTTCTCTCAAACAAAAAAATCATAAACAAACTCATTTTATTGAAATTTAATAAAATTTATTACGCAATAATTAAAAATCTGTAAAATTTTCTATTATTTGTCTCTTGAAATGTATTGACTTAATGTTATGACCCATGCTGGCTCTCCTTTTTGAGCACTTGGAGGTAAATTAATCCAAAGTTCTGATGAATGATTTCGCCACTGAAAAATGAGAAAATTAAATTTTCAAATTGTTGTTAAATTTTTTTTTTAAGATTATTCATTGAAAAAATTTTCAAACATATTTTTTTTAATATAAAAAATAAAAATAACAAAATTTAGACATACATCAAGTTTACTCTGATTGCCAAGAAGTTGAATGCTTGCTGATTCTAACACCCTGACACTTCCTAATTTAACAATGTTATCTGTTGGCCAAGAAAGAAGAATGGCAAACAATTTTTCATCTGTTTTGCTTTCCGTATACCAAACATTTCCATTTAAGGTATCATTTTGAGTTTTCCAAGGTCTAGTTTTGTAAATTGCTTCTCCGTTTACTGCTAACCAAGATCCTAATAAAATTAAACCAAAAATAATAATAATTTCTGTATACCGTCAGTCGGTAATGCAGATAGCGACTTTACCGACGAAGAGTTTCAGTCTCTAAAGGTAATTTACCCTTGGTTGGTAATACAGATAACTATAATGTAAATTTAGCGGTGGTTGGTAAGGTTATCCTCGACAGGTAAAGTAGCTATCTGCATTACGGATTGTAGGTAATAGTGTACCTAGCTATTAATAAACTTTTATAAATAATTAATATTTCTTCATTCTTAATAAATTAATATTGTTTTCTTTTACCCATTCCTCGAAGTCTTTCTTCATAAATTGGACTTATAATTCCATCCTTTGTAGGTCCTACATTCATTAACAAATTTCCATTGCAGCTCACAGTAATTACCAATTCCTTAACTAATTCTTGAAGAGACATGTAATCCTTTAAGTCAGCGTTCCTTCGAAAACCCCAAGATTTTCTATCAATTGTCATTGCGTTCTCCCATTTGTGCGTCTGAAGAATGCCTATATTGTATCCGCATAAACATTGTATTTTGAAATTTTTTTTCATAATTTAAGAGAAAATAAAATTTTAGTTTTATAATTTTAGTATTCTTTTACAAAAATTTATTATTTTTTTTTTAAATCATGTTTTTAATTTACCTGGATTATAACGATCGGAGCAAGTATAAAAATCTCCATGATGACATATAATTTTAGAACCCCATCTGTCATTAACAACAACGGTTTTTCTAACTGGACTTGAATTGTACAACCAACTTAAAATTTCCGTTGAACTCCAATATTTATCAGAAGCTTCCCAATCTCCATCAGACCAAATTATTTCCGGTTTATATGTATAAATCAATTCCTCTAATTGAGGAATTACTTTATTAAAGACAAATTTATGCGTTGAAAAATTATTACTTTTATCCTCCAAATATAGGGGATGAAACCATTCATAAAGAGAATGATAAAGTCCAAATGTTAAATTTGTTCTTGTTCGAATTGCATTTGACAATTCACCTACCAAAAGATTTTTATTATTATTTATTTAGCATTAAAAAAAATTTTTTTTGCTCTAAAAAAATTCAGGTGAATTAAAAATTTACCAATTATATCACGATGTGGACCAACATCAACAGAATTCCAACTGTAAGAATACTTCGACGGCCAAAGGGCATATCCATCATGATGTTTACTCGTCAATACAACATACTTTGCACCAGAATCTCTGAAAAGTTGGCTCCATTTTACAGGATCAAAAAATTCAGCAGTAAAATCGCGAGCAAAATCTTGATACGTAAAATTAGGTGGATAATTTTGTTTCATAAATTTGTTAAGAACAATACTTCCATCTATACAGAAAAAAAGCAAAAATTTTATTTCTAGATTTCGAATTAAAAGTTATATATTTCTATAAACATGTATTTATTTAGTTAAACAAATAATAAAATATAAAGAAAAAATAACAATTAGCAAAAATTAAAATTTAGATAATTTTTTCAAATACGCGATTTAAAATATAATTATACAGTATAAAAAAATACCTTTCCAACTTTTCCAAAACCATTCGGATCCAATACTAGGAACACTGTAAACACCCCAATGTATGAAAATTCCAAATTTAGCATCATCATACCAAGAAGGCAAAGTTCTTTTATCCAAACTCTCCCATTGTGGTTGAAAGTCTTGAATGTTATCAAAATATTCACCTGTTGAATAATTTAAAGCCAAGAGTAAAAATATCAATGAGTTTCGCAAACTTTTTCCAATCATGATATGTCACTTTCGTTTTTTTTTTTTATAAATTTGAGTTCACTCGAGAGAAACTGGAAATATAAATTTATGACATAGAATCTCTTATCAATAAATGCCTTATCACAGATATGCTATTTTAGGCCTTGCGAAATAAGTGTCATTAACCATTTTAGGTATTACAGTCAGCACAAACACATTTTTTTTAAAAATTATTTATTATTTTTATTAATTAATAAAAATTCTTTTCACAATTTCAAAAAGATATTAATAAAAGTTCATATTATTTTTAATAATAATAATAATATTTTACAGTGACAATTTTTGTTTTAATTTTTGATGAACATTCAATTTTCGTTTTAATAGTATCGAAAAAGAAATTTTTCAAATGTCTCATTTTAATCGAAAAATATTACCAAAATAGACTTTATGTAAAACAAAGTTGATTAAGAGGACAATTTTTTTACACGTATTACTTTAAAATTTGTAAGATTTATGAAATATTAAAAATGTTATTTTTTCTGAATTAAAAAAAAATTTTATAATAAAATTGAAGTGTATTATTAATATATTAAATTCTATTTAAGTTTTTATATTAAAGCTTATAAAGATAAAAAATAATACTATTTATAAATTTTTTTTATTTCATAATACAAAATATTGGTTAAAATTTTTTATTTGTTTATAATTATTTTTTAAATGCAAAGTTTAACAAAAGTAACAGTTTTGAAAAAAAATGTTGCCCTAACAAATATCAAGAAAATCCAATCACTTTATAAAAATTCGTCCGCCATATTGGATCCGCCATTTTTGATTTTGAAAGACTAACATCGAATTCGTAATCAGTAAATCCTCGGGTACAAAGTTTTTAGCAAACGCAAAAATTTTTTAAAAATATCTTCCGCTATATAGAATTTTTAAAATCTTACTTCAGATTCGTAATCAGCGACCTCAAAAACCTCCAATTAGCAAGTTTTAAGCAAATCTAATAATTTTAAAAAATTCATCCGCCATATTGGAGCCGCCATTTTGAATTTTCAAGAAGTGACATTCGGCATTTAAAAATATTTTTTTTAAACTATATTTTCGCCTATGCCACAGTGGGATTTTTTTACAATTTACTGTTCAAAAATATCTAGAGCCTTTAATTTTTGACATGAAATAATTTATTCCAATTGTTACAAAATAATATTAGTTAACAAATACATAACTCTGGTACTTTTGCACAAAAAAATTTTTCTTTCACAATAATTTTTTAATTTAGGTTCACTTTATAGACTATATGTTCATTTTGTTGAAAAATAATTTTTTACTTAATAATTAAAATTCTTATAAACAATTATATAAACAAAAATCAATTTTTTAAATTATTTTATTGCTATCTTCAGGAGTGTATTAAAATTATAGAATGTTTATATCATATATATATATATATATTATTTCAAAAATTTATTAACATAAACAATTACTTTTGTTATAAACAAATTATTTATTATTAATAAAATGAATGATTTATTATTAAGAATAATGTTATTTTCTTTGTTTCTTTTATATTTATACGCAAAACAATGAATAACTTAATCCAAATTGAGTATGTAAAATAATTTATTTAATTGTTATAAACAATATAAGTTAACAAATTAATAACTTTGTTTCTCTTCCATATAAAAAGAAAATTATTTTTCGTAAATTTACTTTTGAGTTTAGTGCTATTTGACATAAAAATATGTAAATTTTATTTAAACATTATTTTAATGTTTATATTTGATATTGTTATTAACAGTTTAATTTCCTTTTCTTTGTGGGTTTTAATACTTAAATAACACCGTCCGACAAAATTCAACTTTTTTTTGACCCACAAAAAAATCCAACATTTTTGGAAACTAGGACCCAAAAAAAATACCCGTGTCTGGCCGTTTTGCTAGATCAAGTCGTTTGTGGTTTTTAGGGGTGAAAACAGCCCCTAAATAAAAAGTGACAAGATATCTTTTAAAAATTATTAATATTTTATAAAACTTGGTATCTGGGGGTTTTCGGGATCGCTGATTATTAATCTGATGTCAGATTTTCAAAATTCAAAATGGCGGTCAAAATTTTAAAAAGTTATTACATTTTTTTTAAACCTTGGTATCTAGGGGTTTTTTGGGTCGCTGATGACGAATCTGATGTTAAATTTTCAAAATTCAAAATGGCGGATATAAAATAAAAAATTAATAACTTTTTAAAAATTTGATCGCTATATTGGATCCGCTATTTTGAATATTGAAAATATGACATCAGATTAATAATCAGTGACCCCGAAAACCCCCAGATACCGAGGTTTTATAAAATATTAATAATTTTTAAAAAATATCTTGTCACTTTTCATTTAGGGGTTGATTTCACCCCTAAAAACCACAAACGACTTGATCTAGCAAAACGGCCAGACACGGGTATTTTTTTTTGGGTCCTAGTTTCCGAAAATGTTAAATTTTTTTGTGGGTCAAAAATTGTGTCGGACGGTGATAATATGTTAAAAGAAATGTTACGGGATATTAATTTATTGTTTATTATGAGATGTGTAAAATTAAATTGTTAATAACAATATCAAATATATATTAAATCGTAATTTACTCGAAATATTGACCTCTAGGTTTAGTTCCCTATTTAAATCAAGATTAATTTTAAGTTAGATTTGATTTGTTAAATTCTGAATAAGAGAGGGAAAGGATACTTATAGACGAAATTCTTACGAAACAGCACTTTAAAACTTGAAATAAGGCAGTCAGGTAACACCCAAATAATGTTGAAGTTTTATGATTTTGTCTGCATATTTCTTAAGCCTCTGGATAATAGCAGGTACCAGAAGTCCGGAATTCGAATTATCCAGGATGTATTAATTCTTGACAAAAGTATATTATTGTACCGATAGATTTATTCCTTGGTATACAGAAGGTTGAGTTGTGATAGACAAGTTGTTCCTTCTTCATAAAGCATCCGAGTTTGATTAGAGATGTAGCAAGTTTGTTAGCGAATTCAGAAATGGATGTAGCAGCTTTGATGACAAATTCAGAACTATTTCTCCCAGTGTTTATGACCCTTTTGATAAAGAATTTTAACAAATCTTTACGGTGACGTGACACTCTAATGAAAAACTAATTCTGCCATGAATGTCAAGAAAGAGCAGGTAAATCCAATAATCGAAATATACAGAATGGATTGACGAATCTGAAGATTCCATTGATCATCTTCCGAGAGAAAAACTTTGGCCTTTGTAGACCTACTGTATTTAGCAAAAAATTTATCATGCCATTTATTAGGAATTCCTGTTTCTGGTAATTTAGAAAATATTTTTCTAAATTTTGTCGCATATGGAGAACCTGGTTCACATTTCAATCCAGTAAACATTTTTGATACATGTTGTTCTAATTTTTTTATTGTTGGTTCTCCACTTTCTTTTCTGTTTTTTTGAATTAACAAATCTAATTTAAGGTCTCTCATAAAACAACTTATATTTTTATGCTTCTTCATATAATCAATGCACTCCTCATCATTAGTGGCAATTTTTGTTGCTCTTTTCATAAAATTCATAGCTTTTGAATCGTCATGTTGAAACATCAATAAAATATTCGAATAAATTACTGGAGTTAAATTTGATGCATATAATTCATTGAGTGAATCAAATCCTGTAATCGTTTTCTTTTGTAAATTATTGCTAGTGAATGACGTAAAAATTTCAGATGAATGCAGAGAGAAAGCAATAAGTACGCTTGCAAAAAATACTCTTTCTGCAAATTTAAATGGTTCTCGTCAAACACAGAATCCGAGCATCATTCCGAATAAATTCATCAATTGCCAATTTTGTGTTTTAAAATGCACAAAACGTGGAAAAAGCCAAATTACTATCAGCAATACAATAATTGTCATCAAACAAGATAATCTCCATTCTACTGACTGTTCGGCAAAGGATTTTGATAAAATGGGTATTACTGCCGAAAAGTATGCAGATCCCACATTACTTTCAACATAATTCACCAATTTCACAAGACAGGAATAAAATTGTCTTCCAGTTTGAACGCCAACAAAATTTATTTGACCAAACATTAAAGCACGATTCAGACCCATGTTTTCTTCTTTTTTGCAATGTGAAATATCCCAAATTGTTTTATTCGAGATAACGTTTGATATCTTAAAATTCATCACTTCAGAAAGTGTTTTTACAAGTTTGTAGTCAAAACCTTCGAAACCAATCAAATGACCTGACTTGTTACGAATAAATGAGAGATAGGGTGGATAGTGAAAGAATCCAACCTTCATTTTGTATCCATGAAGATTTGCCACTTTATCAGGAAACAATTTCACAGCCATTGAAAGTTTACGTTTACTAAACTTTCCAGTGAAAGGATTAAAAAAGTGTTGTAATGCCGATCCTCCGTTCAAGTCTAAATCAAAGTTTGCATTTTTGTGAATAAATTCTAAAATGGTCACATCCAAAAAATTTTTCCTCCACATTAATTTGAGAAATTTTCGATAGTTTTCACCCATTTTTACTTTGTTGATCAATAAAATCTTGGGTCTCTGTTGAGCTTGCACGAATTCAATCAAAAAGTTTAGTAATCCAAAATCATTTGCTTCTAATTTTATTGACGTCAAACTGATTAGAATTAACGTTGATCGAGAATTTTGAAATGCTGGCAATGAACTTAATCTCAGTGCTAAACTTTCGGTTGCGTTTTTGTGATCAATTAAAAGAAATGGCAATTTTGTTTTAAATTTCAGAAATGTTTGAGATTCCCCAGTATTGTTATTTATGAATACAACTTGTCGGATGTTTACATCATTTTGGGCTTCTTTGATTATAAAAGAGGATATGTCAAACTGATTTGTTGTTGACAATCCGACAATGGCATAAAAAAGCAACGCAGGTAATGCAAGAAAATTTAACGTCATTGTTATTCTGAAATGAAAAATATTTTGCAAAAATTTTTGTATCAAGGAAAACAATCCACATAAAATTTGCAAACTTTTTTAACAAACTTTCAGCGAAATGTGGTTTAAAGAAAGTTTGTAGAGAAATATGCAGATTATGTGTCAAAATTCTGGTTATTCGAATAGAATTTATAAATAATTTATTGAAAGGAAATTAATATACTATTATTCAATATTTACAGAGTAAAATGCTTACGGCTTTATTTCTTATTTTTTGATGTCCAGAATTCAATTAATTGCGTCAATGGTTAGCCAACGAATAATATTCACCAGTGGATAAGGTAACTTCTACATCTGCTACTACTTTTTTTGTTAAACATAGAACCGATATTTTAAATTATCTATAGAAAAATCTTTTATAAAAGCAAAGAAATTTTAAATTATTCTTCCATAATCATCAATTGATGTATTGGTATGATAAAGGTTAATTTGTTTGAAAAAAATAGAAAAAATCTTTAGGAAACATATAGGAAATGCAATTTTCTGAGATATAGTGATAGTATAACAAGGTTTTTTCATAATCGTCTACCTCAATACTAAAAATCGAAGGTTTTTTTTATACTGGAAACAAAACCTTTGACTTTTTAAAGTCCATCACAATTTTTCATTTTTTTTATATAAATGAAAAAGTTATGTACATAAATAATTAAATAAATAAATGAATTCGTCTTTTTGAATTTAATCCATTTTTTAGGAATTTATCATCCTAGGAAATAATTTCATCCAGATAAATAAAGATTTAAACAAAATTTATCGGCAAATTAAATTCTTATAGAACAGATTTCCCTTGCTGATCAGAAGCTATGAATGTGCAACTTTGTCGCACAATCATAGTGAGTGGTTTAAATAGAAATTAATTAACAATCGTAAATATAGTTATAATAATAGTAATAATAATAATAATAATAATAAATAGAAATTTTTTCCTTTAGTTGAAAAATACGTAATAAATAAAATTTACGCACTTATTATTTTATTACGTATTTAATTTTGCAATATATTTGTTATTGATTTTCGAAAAAAAAATAATTCTTAAATTTTCCTTATTTTAAGGAAGTATAACCAAAAATAGAAACTCAATACCTTTAGTATAAAAATTATGATAAAATTATATTTTGTGTTATTAATATCAGATGAAAAATGTATCTTTCAATAATTGCAATATTCACATTATTATCCCTGGCTATTCTCACAGAATTTGTTGATGCAAATTCTGCTATAAATTGTTTAAAGAAAGGTAAAAAATGTACAAATAACAATGAATGCTGCAGTAAACGTTGCAAAAAAAGTGGTATTAGAAGTAAGTATTTTCAATATTTAGAATAGAAAAATTAATTAAAATTTAATTAAAAATTTAAATTTCTATAAAATCATTTTGAGTCATAAATTTACATAATTTTTTTTTTATTGCAGGAAGAAGAAAATGTCAATAAAAAATATTTTTACAATATTTTTCATATGTTGAAGTGAATGGAAATATGTAATATATGAATTTAAGATTGTTAAAAAAATATGTTTGGAAAATAAATGTCAATATATAAAATTACATTTAATTCGTAATTAGCGATCACGAGTAAAAAGTTTTAAGTGAATTTGAATTTTTAAAAAATGTTGCGCCATTTTGAATTTTGCAAAACAAACATCGGATTCGTAATTAGGAATCTAAAAACTCTCGAGAAACAAGTTTCAAGCAACTGAGATAAAGATAAAAAAAATCTATTTCATTTTCTTAAAATTAAATGCCTTGTAATTATAGTGTTCCAAATGAACCCCGATCAATTTTTAAAAATACTTCATCCATATTGGAACGGCCATTTTGAATTTTTTAAATCTGTCTTCAGATTTTTTTTCCATTTTTATGGAACAATTTTTAAATAAAATAAATAATAATTGATTAAGTTAAATAACAAAAGTACTTTTAAATACTAATGGTTATACGCATTGTAACAAAATTAATTAATTGAAAATATAAAAATTTTGGAACTTACCAACTAAGACGCGTAGAATTAAGCCATGAATTATTATTAATAATAAATAGTCATAATATTGAAAAAAAAATTGTTCTTTGTTGAAAATATTCATCACCATGAAAATAAACAATAAACAAAAATTACGCACTTTTTATTTTCATCGTGCGGTTTAATTTCACAATATCATTGTTGTTGCATTCGGAGAAAAAAAAATAATTCCTTAAATTTTCCTTATTACAAGGAAGTGACAATAATAGAAATTCAATATTCTTTCGTATATATATAAATCGTGATAAATATTGTAATAACGTTAGAATGAAAATGTATCTTTCAATAATTGCAATAATTACATTACTATCATTGGCTATTCTCACGGGATTAGTTGATGCGGATACTGCAAAAAAATGTCTGAATAGTGGTCAAAGGTGTAAGACAAATAATGACTGCTGCAGTAAAAATTGTAAAAGAAGTGGAAAGAAAAGTAAGTTTTTAAAATCTTTGGAAATTTTTTTTTTCAACAAAACATCAGAAACAATAAAATTTTTCATAGTTATAAGAATAAACGAATTAATTAATTAGAAATCTTTGGAAAAATTTTTGAAATCAATGATTTATATATATATATTTTTTTTATTACAGGAAAAAGGAAGTGCCAATAAAAAAAAAATATTACAACATTTTTCATATTCCAAATAGATGAATTGAAATACATATGAAATTTAACAATGTGAAATAAAAAGTTCAGAAAATAAAATATTTTTAATATTAAAACATTCAATTATTGTATGAAACTGTAATGAATGCAATGATAAAATAAGTGTTGGATTAGCTCGCCGGATCAGGGTTTGTTTGTCAGGTCCAAGTGAGGCAGCGCCATCTACATTGAAACTAAAATTTTGGAAAATTTTCAACAGCCTTTTCTTGAAAACAAGAAGGTAAAATGCTTTTTCCTTTATGGATAATTGATTATTGGCAAGATATACACCAGCTAAAACTTTTTTTCAGTTAAAATAATAAAAAAAATTTCATGTCAATAAATTAAATATGAGCACTTTTTTCACAAAAACTGTAACACCCTTACGAAAAAGTACTACAGAGTGACTACAGCAAAATACTACAGGATTTACTACAAATGTACTACAGGTATACTATAAGTGTACTACAGGTATACCTGTAGTAAATTTAAAGTATATGTGTAGTATCCAGCTGTAGTATTTTCGTTGTAGACTTAGTGAGGAATAGTATCATGTGATAAATCTAAGAGAAAGTAGTTTTTGAGAAAATTTGATAGATGGCAGCACAAGGGTTTAAAAACAAACAGTCTTATTTTTCCCTTCACCATCAAGATGTACAGTTATGGTTCAGACTGACTGACTGTACATATTATACAATATGACGCGGGCGCTCGGACCCACTTTCGAATGGTAGTCAGGTAGCAGTCAGCAACAACGGCCCACCCACTGCTACTCGACTACCATCAAAACGTGCGTCCAGGCGCTTGACGGGTTATTGCATTGACACGTTCATTTTCATATATATCTCGAATACTAAAAGAGCTAAAGATATACATTTTTTTATAATTGTATAGGATATTTTTTCTTTCTCTCTCCTCTCTCTCTCTTTTTTATTCTCTGTCTCCCATACGTTATATTATATGATAGATAGGTAGCCGGGGAGGTACGAATTCAACACAAATAAACTCTACACAAGAAAATACTGCACCGTTAACTGTACACGAGTCAATTCTCCCCTAGTGAAAAAAATACGTATAATATAATATAATATACTAATAAACAAAAATATATTCCATATTTATATATTCCTAAATATTAAAAATTATAGACACGTATATTTATACGTATAATTCTTTTGTTTCAAATTCGTATGTCTTATTATACGTATAATAATACGTATAAAAGTACGTATTATTATACGTATATTTATACGTAATATTATTCGCATAATTATACGTGTTTTTTCAATAGGATCTACAAAATTAAATAAAAATTCTTCACAATTAAATATTACATCGAAAAACCCTACATAATAAACTATTTACTAGAAAATTATCTTCATAAACTCTACACAAATAAACTCAACACATTAAGATTTAGAATTAGAAAACTGTAAAATTTTTTTTTTATAATTCGACACAATTAAATTTTACACATGAAAATAATATTTTCTTTATTCCCGATTATTAATAAAATTCTACACAATTAAACTCAACATTTATAAATTCTACACAGCAAATAAAAACATTTTAATCCTACACAATAAAACTGTACACAACACATTAAATGAAAATAATTAAATTCAAAACGAGAAAACTCTACACAAGAAAATACTCCACCGCTAACTGTACACGAGTAAATTGTCAATAAGATAAAGTAAAAATATATTCTACACAATTGAATACTACATCAAAAAACCCTACACAATAAACTATTACCTAAAAAATAATCTCCATAAACTCTACACAAATAAACTCAACACATTAAGATTTAGAATTAGAAAAATAAAAATATTTTTTTTTATAATTCCACACAAATAAATATTACATACAAAAATAATATAATAATATAAACATTTGAGTTAAATTTAAAGAATTAATGGAAGTTAAAAAATCAAAAATTCACATTTTAGCTGAAATTTCTAAAAATTAATGAAAAAATATATAATTTAGAATTATTTACAATTATATTGATTCGTTTCAATGCAAGGAACTCAATTATTTTATATTTAAACTTGAATTTAAATAAATACAAAATTTTTTTAGCTAAAATGTGAATTTTTGATTTTTTTTAACTTTCATTAATTTATTAAATTTACCTCAAATGTAAACTTTATATACACAAATCTATTCGTTTTCATGCAAGGAATACAATTATTTCATCTATAAACTTAAATTTAAATAAGAACAAAATTTTATATCCAAAATGTGAATTTTTGATTTTTTAACTTTCATTAATTCTTTAAATTTAAATTAGAACTATACTTTATATATACCGATCGATTTGTCTTGACGTAAGGAATACGATTTTATTCTATAAAACCTTAAATTTTTCTATGTAAAAATTTTTTCGATTAAAAAAAATTTTTAGAAAAAAGACGATAAAATTTTTTTTTGGGTATTTTTTAAAATCCTTTGGTCAGATTTGAGATATTAATATGTGACACTCCACGAGAGAAGGGACCTAACGTGCTTTTGACTTAAGGTTCATTCACTGTGTCATTACACGGTAAAAGCGAACCTTAAGTCAAAAGCACGTTAGGTCCCTTCTCTCGTGGAGAGATAACACAGACTCTGTCTGTTATGTGCGAAAAATTCAAAATTTTGCGTTTAAAACGTTTTTTAAACAATGTTTAAGTTGGTTGTCACAAGTAAGGAAAAATACACGAATTGCTTATATGTAGGCCATTTTTCGAAAGACCAGGATAAATTAATTTTATTATTAATAATAATTAAAATTGTTTATTACTAATTAAACAATAAATTGTTGTTGTTTATTCACTTAAAAAAACATACAAAAATTCAGTTTTTTCCTAATTTTGCTATTTGCAAATTTCAAAGTTCTGAAAAATACTTGTTTAAAAATTGAATTATTCTTCAATTTTTTAAATTACATTTTTCAAAAAGCAGTTTTTGGAGAATTTTTCAAATTACTTATCTCAATGTTGTAAAAAATACTGGCTAAAAAGCAGATTACTCTTCAATTTTTTAAATAAATAATTATTGTTTTTCATATAATTTTTTCAAAAAGTACATATAAAAAAGCAATTTTTTGACAATTTTTTAAATTGCTATTCTCAATATTGTAAAAAAAAGAGATTAAATTTCAAATTGTATTTCAATTTTTCAAATAATTAATTATTGTTTTTTATCTTTTTTTCAAAGGAGAACATATAAAATAGCATGTTTTTTAGAATTTTTAAAATTACTCATCTCAATGTTGTATACAAAAGGTTGAAAATCCAATCATTTTTCAATTTTTTAAATAAAAAACAATAATTATTTAGTTGAAAAATTGAAAAATAAATTGGTTTCTTGGCCTTTATTTTTAACAAAATTGAGATGAATAATTTAGAAAGCTGTCAAAAATATGCTTTCTTATATGTGCTTTTTGAAAAAAGTAAATAAACAACAACAATTTATTGTTTAATTATTGTAATAAACAATTTTAATTATTATTTATAATAAAATTAATTTAAATAGTTGATAAATTACATAATAATTTTCCAATTTTTATCCTGGTCTTTCCAAAAATGGCCTACATATAAGCAATTCGTGTATTTTTCCTTACTTGTGACAACCAACTTAAACATTGTTTAAAAAATGTTTTAAACGCAAAATTTTGAATTTTCCGCATATAACAGACAGAGTCTATGTTATTCTGAACATTTTCCAAAAGGTTTTTTTAAAAAATATTCAAAATTGTGCTTTTCATATACCTGAGAAGTTTGCGTGTCATGCGCCATGATTTGTGACGTCACGAAGATTCAAATGCTCTTAAAAATAAATGATACTTTTCTCAAAAAAAAAATTATTAACGCCAGTTCCATCTGTTCCACCGACCCCAGCGTCTCCACCCGCCACAGAATTTCCACCGTCACTAGTGCAAGTTTAATGCGCAATGAAACAAACGAAATTAAAAATATTTATTATAAACTATCATAACTCCGGTAAGTTTACTATAACTTAACAAATAAATTTCCATAAATTACCGCATAAATTTCCATAAATTACCAAAATAAAATTTTTAATTGTCGTTCGCTCTATATATATTTTTGTGAATTACTGCGAAAATTTTCATAAATTACCGAAATTAAAATTTTTAATTGGGATTTATGCTTTACATATTTTTATGAATTATATAGCCAAAATTTCTATAAATTATCGTATAAATTTCTATAAATTACCGCATAAATTTCCATAAATATGTATTGATATTTATCATTCCGATAAAAAAATATTTTTAAAGTTTCAGACACCAAATCGTGCGCTACGCGGAGAATAACCATAAACAAAAGAATAAAAAAAAAGTTTTTCAAATCCCGCCTAAATTTAAAAAAATTTCATTTTTTTATAAAAAATCGCTGTTTTTATAATAATTCATATTTTTTTCGTTAACATATTTTGAAAGTCGATGAAAAACTAAAACTTTTTTGTATCTAGGTCATAATTCATAAATTCAATACTGTTAGAGTTACATGTCATGGAAATTAGGTGTATTTTAAAAAAACTTGAAAAAATCAGATTTAAGAAAATTCGTAGCTTAAAAATTTGAGCACTTATAAAAAAATAAGAAAGTACGTAAACCTTTTTTTCTATAAAGATCGAAAAAAATATATTAACCGTATTTAAAATGTCATAGGTAAATCTCACGTGGAATCGCCCCCCTCATAACAAAAGGATATCCCTAGGATATCCATATCAATGGTCGGTATCCTGGAATGGTCCCCAGGATATCTTGGGATATCCCTAGGATATACAAACCGCCGGTCTGTGGGACATCAACAGGACATCCATAGGATATCCACAGGATATCCCTAAGACATCCACAAAATATCTATTGGATATTATATCGCAGGATATCCATGGGATATCCTCAGGATGTCCGTGGAATATTCTTAGGATATTCACGGGATATTTAATATC